TTCTTTCCCAGGTATTCTAAAGCGTTGATGATTAATCTAACGTTGTCCTTCATCTTAATGTCTGTATTCCCCTTCCCCGATTTTATGTGAGCCGCCCTGAGTCCCCTCAGGGAAAAGGGCGGCCTACAAATATTAATAAAATCTAAATCTAAATCTAAATCTAAAATCTAAAAGTTATAAGAAAGAATTACTAGCATTGGCGGAAACAATAGCTGGCAATTTGAAAGTGCTGATAACTGCCCGGTAGATTTCTGTTCATTTTTTCAAACCAAAGATACTTTTCTAAAAAAAAAATACTTTCTGGAATGAGTAAAAACTTTAAACTCAGTTTACAATCTATGCAAATTAGCCTTGCATCTTGTCAAAATTAGGAACTTTGAAAATACATGCTTTGGACTTAGAGAGCATAGAACCCTACCATGGACAATCCACTTCCTATTGACCCTTGAATTCTCAGCAGCTGCCTATCAATGCAGTGAGGTGGGGATTCTCCTGGACTCATGGCTGCTGCTTGATGAGAAGGTGACAGCTTTAGCTAGGGATGTCTTTGCACAGATTTATCTTATGCACCAATGAGCTCCTTCCTGGACTAGGAAGTTATGCTCACAGTCACTTATACCTTAGTCATTTCCCAGTTGAATTATTACAATGCATTTTACTTGGGGCTGTCCTTGAAAAACACTAGGGAAGTTACAACTGGTCCAGCAGGCAGTGTGTACAGTTTTTGATGTTCACAAGTTAGTCATGTTATACCTCTCTGGCGTGAGCTATACAGGCTCCCAGTTTCCTTCTGGGTACAGTTGGAGTTGCTGGTTATGATCTTTAAAGCCTAAATGGCATGAGACCTGACTATTTGCAGTCCCATCTCTCCATAAAAATATCTGCTTGTTCCACTAGGTCCGGGTCTTTCCCTGAAATCTTGCCCCAAATCTTGTGGAATATCCTCCCCAAGGGATTTGGCAGGCTCCCACCCATTTAGCCTTTTGAACTATTGTGAACACCTGGCTTTTTATCAAGGTGCTAGGGTAAGATTCTATTGATAGAAAGTAAGGAATGAGAGTACATAATTGGAGGTTGCTGAAAGGTATCATAATGGGATACTTAAGGTGCAACTTTTTGTTGTACTGTTTTATGATTGTTTTGCGGTTATCGGGTTTGTTGCTGTAATCTGTTTGTTTAAGAGGTAGCCATATAAATCTTTTTAATAAACAAATAAAATAAGATTGGAAGTACAAAAAGAGGCTCGTGGAGTTGGTAACTTAGGTCCACGTAATTAAGCCTTCTCAATCTATTGCCCTTTAGATATGTTGAAACAGCAGCTTCTAAAATTCCCAGGGAATGATGATATAACTGAATTTGTCAAATGTATTTCTAGGCTGAAATGATAAGAGTTTGGGTCAGCTGTAGAAATACCAAATCCCATTTGTAATATGGGATTTCATAGAATATCTGTAACTGCTTCTTCTATACCAGTACTGTACATGTTTTATTAAGTCTATTTAGAAATCTGTTGAATAGCACTAGCCACCTGTCTTCATGAAAATATTGTTCAGAGGTCATATATGGCTAAATAATAATCTGTAGTATATTAAAATCTTTACTAGCTGTTGTACATTCATAACCTGGGTGGATGATAAATTAGGTGCAACTATACAAAAACTGAACACAGGGGTGAGTAACTTAGTGGATGAAGGATTAATTGTGAGAACAGAAACTGTTGGAAACTTTCCAAAATCTGTGTAACTTCTAAATACTAGCCAGTCTCTTAAAGATAGAGCAATCTAATTACCCAAACACAGAAAACTAGTTTTTTGAAAGGCAAGAATAACCAAGTGAATAGGATATGAAATGAAAAGAACAATTCTGAATCTCCAGCCTTAATAACAGATACAGATAGTATAGTTAACCACTTTTAAATTCTTGATAAAGCAATGTATTCTCTAAAAGAGGTTGAGCTGAAGATAATTAAGAGTTTAGAGGTGTATGGATAAAACCCTGCTTTTACATAAGGCACTTAAAGCTTAAACATATTTGACATTGCAGCCAAGTGAGAATATATGGCTTAGAGCTTCAGTAATGTAGGCTATTTAGGCACTTCAAGTCTTATCTAGAAACTATTGCCATCATAGGTGGGGTTTTTTTCAGCATAAAAACTATACTGAAATAATAGGAGCAGTTAGCATTGCATTTCTATTTTTAGATACTGTATATACAAACATTTGGAATACTTCTATTATGAATGCAATGTTTATAGTTTTTCTCCCCAGAAAGGATTTGCCAGTGATATCAACACTTCCTGGGGAACACCCAATTAAGGGCTCCATTCATTTTCCTGTGTAGTTGCCTACCGAAGTGGTACCCATTAATCTCTTGTGGTCACCCATTTTCAAACTGCTCTGTCGTCAGAGGCTGGAGTATGTGAGGGAGGCTCACTCCTTCCCGCAGCAGCAATGGGTCTTGAACACAAGCCTGCCAATTGGCAGCCCAGCAGTCTAACTTTGTGAGCCACTGCGTTCCTCCTATATGTTTATAGTTAATTAGTCTCACTCTAATATACATACATACACTCATTTTAAGAATTCTACATTGTATGAGGCCTTTGAACATACAATTGCTATTTCAAGAATCAAAACACTTTACTTAAATATTAGGAACTCAGATAATGCCTAGAGCAGTGGTCCTCAACATTTGCAACTTGGTGGCCCAGCTGTGGCAGAGTGAGTGGAACTGGGTCCTGCGTGCAGTGGGCGCCATGTGTATACATGCAACCCTTGGGTGAGTTACGGGATGTCGTATGGACACACACAGCCTTTGCATCAGTAGACACACATGCACGTCCTTGTATTAGTAGGCCAGTGCATGTGTGCATACAGCTCTTGCACAAGCAGCAGGCTGGCACATGTGGTGGGCTGAGTCATATATGCGCAAGTGCCCACAGCCCGCCACTTATGGAAGTTGAGCTGTGTATGCGCTCCAGCTAGCCACTCATGCAGCCCAATTCTGAGTAGGCCATGGCCCGGCAGTGGGTTGCAGCCCGGGGGTTGGGGACCCCAGTCTAGAACAATACTTCAGATCCACAGTTTTGTGGGTTTTTTAAAAAATTCTTTAAATAATTAAATAAAACATTCTGGCCATTTTACATAAACTTCACAATAGTTATTTAGCACAGAATTAACATTTAAAAGAAGTACAAGCGGGCATTTTCACTAAGTGAGATCTACATTTTTTTAGTTTTGTCATAAAAGCAACAGCCTAAATAATAAAGGAAACCTTCTGGAAAAGCATTTTTTTTAATCCTCTGATTCGGAGAGCCAATGCACTGAACACATCCTATGTCTTACCAGAAAGATCTTCTAAAATAGGTTGTCCAGTTTTTGTGCAGGGAGCAGATTCCATGTTTGTGCTTCCTCCTCCAGTACTGGACTCTGCTGTTATGTTTCCCTCATTGTCTGTCTGAGATCTGAAGTACAAAGTAGAGGTAAAGCAAAAAGGAAACACATTCATTCATTCATACATTCATTCAACCAAAAGAAGTCTGGCATCAATATAACAATGCTTTCCAGTATAGCATTGTGTCTTTTCCACAGGGTACACTAGCATGCTGATTGTACATAATTTATTAGTCCCATGTGGTCCTAAGTCCTAGAAATGGAAACAGGCACTGAACTGTAAAAAATATGAAATTTCTGCTGTCAAAAGGTCCTCTGCCATCATTTTAAATAACTTCTGTTCTAAATTAAGTTTCCAATCAGAACAATAGTCTACACTGGTGACCATCATCCAACAGAGGGAAAGAGAGTTCAATGGGAAATAGATGGAAAAAATGGTAAAATTGAAATAAATAAGTAGATAAATAATAGTCAGCATGAATAATTCATAATTCATGCTGACTATTCTTTATCTACTTATTTATTTCAATTTTACCATTTTTACCATCTATTTTTTTTAAAGTCCACTGGTAAGGATTTACGTAATACCCTAACTGTATTCACAAAATAGTGTTTCCTCTTTTAATTTTCCTGAATAAGAACCTGAGATTAAAGGAAGAAAATAGTTTATGACAATTTTATGAAATTCTGCAACAAAGATATGATAGCATTTGCAAATGACCAATATAGACAGAATTTTCTAATTATTTTTCTAATGATTCTTTGAGGGATGAAACAGAATAGGATAAGAAATATTGAATACTGGTGGCAACTGCCTTTTCTCTATCCCTGGCATTATAAAAAAACAAAACAGAATATGAATTTTCCATGTTCACATCTGCATGCTGTATTTTATATTCCCTTGGGTAGCATTTTAAAAGTATACTGGACTACTACTATGTTAGTTTGGACCAACAAACACCATTGCTTCACATAAATAGAAAGCATCAATGCATTCATTTAAAGAAGTAGTGTGATAAAGACAAATGCTACTGCAGGCCACTTACATAAGAAGCAGAATCACATGGCTTTTCATCTTATATTTCAATACCATTTTGGCTGAATGCATGAAAGAAGACTACGAATGTATTCTTGCTCTGTTATGTTCTATTCAAATAGTATAATAAAGTCTCCTGCTTGAACAGGGAGCTGGACTACAAAACCTCTAAGGTCCCTTCCATATTCTATTCTGTTCTGTTCTGCTCTCCCATCCCATCCCATCCTTCTTTATCTATGGACTGGTGTAATAATGGCTATTAATGATGGATGTAATTGCGCTAATAAAATATTTGGAGTGAGATGAATGGTGTTAGGAACAACTAGTCTGTAGAAAATTAAGCTCTTATGATGGTCTTTCTTCTTAGGAGGACCTGGAATGACATAGGTATAATATTTTTATTTAATCATATAATGTATTAACTCATACTTCATCTTTTTGACTTTGTTCTTGAACATTTTTGCTCTCAGTTATTTTTCTAACAAAATATATCTATAATCACATAAGGCACATCAGACAAGTCTGAATTCACTTTTTCAGCCTTCAAAAATGTTGTCCAGGTTATGGCTTTGGTTGATAATGGAATGTAGCAATTAACTGATTAGTTGATTACCCTCAAATTATGACAACGAAACCAGAGGAGCTAGCATCTACTTTTAACCAATGTATCAAGCCAGAATATTTCTGTGGTTACAAAAAAACTACAGAGAATAATTTTTAATTCTGCACCCAAAGCAATTAAATGCCATTAGGTTTTGGCACAAAGATAACAAAACTATGATTTGATAATATAAAATTATTGTTTATGCCATAATTAATTTTCTCTTTACCTACCTACCACTTTTTCTTTTAAAAAAAGAGGAAGAGGAGGAACAGCATGAGAAGAAGGAAACTTTTCTTGTATGTAATAGTACATTGCCCTCAGCCAAATGGTGCCATGTTTTCTTAAGTCAAAAGCTACACATAACCCGCTAACTGTTATGCCAAAGTCACATTACAAAACAAAAGTAGCAGATCAAGAACAAGGTAAAAAGGGTAAAATTAGATGGGGCTGCAATTTGCCAACCTTCCAAGGACTACTTGCATTCCCATGACCTCAGAATATGCATTGTGGCCCATGTCTATTTAAAATAAATAGCACCAAGCAACTCAGCAGATACCATAGTTGTCTTCCTCCTTCAAGAAAGCTATATGACAAGTCATGGTTAAAAGTTGCTCCTTACCTGTACATGAACGGAGCTACTGTGGCGGTATTTGGATGGCTGTATTGCTGTTGCGGATGAGGTAGCTGAACACTCACAGTATTGCTTCCTGTTGTCTGGGTGGTACTATTAGTTGGCCCATTGACAGCATGGCTGCTGCTGCTGGAACTTAAAGCTGACCAACCTCCCATTCCTCTCCCATCAGTGGAGGCTAAACTTGACGTAGAACTTGAATTCTTGCAATCTAGCTGTGCTTTTGGATGAGAGAGGCTGGAAGCTGGCTTTGCGCTTCGGCTTCTTTCACCTTCCTTGGCAGAACAACTTGGGGCACTTGAGGATTTCCCTGTGGTGTTTTTCATCCCTGGTTTTGGTATTCCACTATGTGAAGGGGCAGCTGTTTCTTTCTTGGCACTGTTGAGCTTTCCTCCTTTTGGGATAAAGCTTGCAATCTTGGAGGATTTTTTTGGCATTTCGTTTACAGCAGGAGGAACCTGTTCTTCTTTCAGCTCTTCTTTCATATCAGCTTTTTCTATCACAGATGTTCTCTTGGCCACATCTTTGTTTTTTTCCTTTTCTTTCTCCTTTTCCTTTTCTTTTTCTTTTTCCTTCTCCTTTTCTTTTTCTTTCTGTTTCTCTTTTTCTTTTTCATTGCCCTTTGGGGAACTCTTTTTATTGGTCAGAGCCCGACTAAATGTCCGTTGTGCAATTCCCTTAAGTGCAATTTTGGGACTATTTGATGTGGGTCCTGTGGTGTTTAAGTTCCGATTTGCAGCCTCCATCTCCTCACTTTCATCAAAGTTTGAGAGGCCCTCTAATCTTTCACAACTAGTGTCCCGAGACCCCGGACATTCAAGAGATGACCCTACTGCTTTGGAACCCCCTTTTGTATTGAATAGTTTCAACTTCTCCAGCATTGATTTCTGACCATTGGGAGTAGTTTTGACCATCTCTGGGACGGGTTTGGGAGGCTCCTGAACCTGCTGTTTTACAGTTAATGTGGATGTTGTGGTTGTGTGCTTAGCACTTAAAGATTTGCTGCGCCAAGGTTTAACTGCAGAATTGGGCTGGGGGATGGCTGAAGAATTATTGCAACTGGCTGCATTGTTGCTACTGCTGCTTTGAACCAAAGAGGTTGCATTTTCATTCATTCCTGTGGGTTGGGGATCTAAACTGTCTGCTGGTTCTGGGGAGAGAGGGGGAAAAAAGAAGATACAAGATTATTGGCATTTTGGATTTGGATTTGGACAAAATCTTCAGGTCAACGTGATTTGCTTTTACAGTATTTCAAAAAAATATAGACATGACATTTTATATTCTATCCATCCATCCATCCATCCATCCATCCATCCATCCATCCATCCATCCATCCATCTATTTTTGGACTTGAATTAAGAACAGTTTTTTTGGAGGAGAGACTAATATAACCAGCTTTTTACAATTAAAATTGTTAAAGATTCTATTTCAATTGCAAATTTACTGAAAACTCCATCTCTTTCTTAACTGCTCTGGATCACCCAATCTACATTTAAGTGTTTACCCCCTTTATAGTGATACAGTTTGGAAGCTGTCCAACCAAAGATATATTTCAAATAAAGAAGCAAACATGAACTCAATGCGTATGGAACCATCCAGCTTGACAATCCTGAAAAATAATTGAACAAACAATTCCAAATGTAACAAGAATCAAACAAAATAAAACCAATGTTCGCAAACCAGAATCACCACAAACAAAACAAAGTCCCACAACAATCAAACCGTAAGTATATATTTCATTTCCTAATCCACAAAGCTAAAATGTCTGATACCTTTATCTTGACAAAAAATTATGTATAATCAAATTCATCTTAAACTGACAGCAGCTAAAAAGATAAAGCTGAAAAGTTTCCTTGATGAATTCAAATCTCTTCTATGTTCTTTTTTCTGAAGGCATTTCACTTTTTTTTTCTTTTAAAAAGAGAGCTTAAAAATCTCCCTTACTCACCTCTGGAGAGCCACTGCTTTTTAAAGCTACTCCTTGCAAAGTTTCTCTTCTGGAGATATTATATCCCAATTACTGCAAACACGTCTTCTGTTAGACTGCTGATGCTTCCAATTAACTTTTGTCATCTCTCAACTGTTAGCCTGCCCTGCAGCTAGCTGGGGATTAACGGCTTTTACCTGCTATCCTGGGATCCTTTAGCAATAAACGGCAACTAGAGCTTCTTGTGCTTTTTGAACTTAAAAATAAACAGCAACCGGCAGTGAACGTTTGCAGCAGTTTGGAAAAAGAACTGTGGATGTTGTTTTCTGAATCATACACGGCTGAAGCCACAGAGAGTCTTTGACTTCACTTTTAACTGCTCGCGGAAGAGACAGCTCCGTTAATCTCACCAGTGTGATTTGCATCAAACTGCTTCATATTTCTAAGCACACCCATCTTCCTTACTTAGCAGAGATTTAGGTTTCTAAGAGAATTCTCTTGCAGTCAACTCCCACTGTCCTAACTGAAACAGCAGATGTGCCTGCTCATTTTATGGAGAGCAGGCATTGCTAGGATTGGAAGATTTCCAGAGTGTCATTAATTATAAGTGATTAAACTAGATAATCTCTATTGCACTTTTTCCCACCCTCACCCTTATACCAGAAGTTTGGAAAAGGAAACCAAGTTAGGTCTAATGCCTCACAGAATGAACTAGATTTATAGATTTTTTTTTCTAGGTGTAGTTAAATACTTAAGCAATCCCTCTTCATTTTGCAATTGGGACAGAAGTTAAAAGTTCATCGGAGGTATGAATACACACTACATGTCTATGCACATACAACACATACAGATCAGTTCACAGGTTATGCCAGCCCACTAAACATATGATTTTATACCCAATTCTGTATGCAAACTTTAAATTACCCCTAGAGATCAAGAACCTAATTTAATTCTAAAGCATCAGCTGCAGCTTGGAGAAATAATTCAATATTTTATGCAAAGTTCTGTATCCCATCCTTCTGATGGATATGGATCATTCAGCTACATGTGGAATTAAGATATTAAAGACTGCTTTGAACATTTCCAGAAAATGCTAAAATCCTTAGTCCTTTAAAAAAAAAATGTTTTAGTGCATTAGATCAATGCTGAATCCGGGACTAGCCCTTGCAATTTTCTTTGGCAGGATTTCCAGAAGTGATTTGCCATTGCTTCCTTCTTAGGGCTTAGAGAGAATGACTGAAAGGTCACTCAACTGGCTTCTTGCCTATTGCCCAGGACTAGAACTCACTAGTTCTGATTGATTGTACAGAATTTTTGAAATTAGACTGAGGTTTATGGGCAACTGGATAAGGGTTATATACAGCCCTCGGGGCACTAATTGCCTAACCCTGCCTTCAATAAAGGAGTTGTATATGGGGAACTGATGGCTCTAACTATAGATGGAATCAGGGGTGGGTTCCTGCCAGTTCTAACCTCTTCTATAGAAGAGGTTCCACAAATCTACAGTGCCGTTTAGAACCAGTTCCAGTTCCCTCTCCCCGCACATCATCAAGATGAAGAACGAGAGGAAGAATTCGGGGAATTGAAGTCCACAAGTCTTAAAGCTGTCAAGTTTGAACACCTCTGGGCTTTTTTCTAAAGGGTTAGGGGTGCAAGGGTCTTGCAACTTGACAGCTTTAAGACTTGCATGCTTCATATGCCAGAGTTTCTGAGCCAACATTTTGGTTGCTAAGCAAGAGCATTGTTAAGTGAGTTTCACCACATTTTACAAGTTGGCCACACCCACCCAGTCACATGGCTGGCAAGCCACTCCTACCTGGTCTCATGGCCAGCAAGCCACTCCCACAAAGCAGGCCACACCTACAGAAGAGGTTCTAAAAAATTTTGAAACCCACCACTGGATGGAATCCACAAAATAGACCCATCCCTTCAAATTTGGAGGCTGCAGAGGTGTCAAGTGAAACCTAGTAACACATTGCCCTTAATATTTATCCTTGTTATGGATAGATCATAAAAACGTTATAGAGATAAAGCATTCTCCTTAATTCCCAATCTAGAGCTCTTGGGTGATCCCTAGATCCTTGTGTTAGGATTTTACCATGAAACTGCCTTATGAATGAATAAATGCCGATTGTTACTTCAGCTGCTTTTTCAGGTCATTGGCTTTGGTCCTAGTTCAGTGATATACCTTCAAACATTTCATTTTGGAGAAAAAAATTCCTTGCACTGAGCTTCTCAGATTGTCTCATTTTGCAATGCGTAAAATTATTTCCCACCTGTCATCTTCCCTGAGGCGGTTTTGTTTCTTCCTGAGTGTTTGCCAACTTTACCCAACAACAAGTGAGACATGTTCAAATTCAAAATATGGTTAGGCTAAATGAGTACTTTCTCTCCTCCTTTCAAAGCAAGAGCTCGGCTTGGAATTTATTTAATTCCCAGTGTTTCTGTTACAGATTCGCTGGTGGTCCTGTTTGAATGCCAATGCATATGTATCACAGTTAACTTGAATTTCATCAGCTCCTGTTATATCTCGACTGCAAATTCAAACCTAGCCACTCACAATTAAACTACGTCAATAGTTTAAATTGTTCTGTGAAATGTTTGTGTAAGAAGAATTGGAGAAAACGCATATAATTTCCCATAATTCGTCAAGTTAAAACTAAACACAGGCTGCTTCCTTCTGGTTACCACTAGCTGTAGAGATTTGTCAGAAATAAAGAAAATTACTTCTAGGACATAATTCTAACTAACTTTAGTTGTTGGGAGGAACCCAAAAAAAATGAGTTTATAAACACTAGGGAATGAGATGGGGCAAATGTGTGTGTGGGAAATCTGTAGCCTCCCAGATATCAAGTGTTGGGAGAAAACCTCTCACTGTCCCTCACAAGAATCATAGTGGGGTGAATGGAATAAGAGATCATCCTATGACCATCACTTGCAAATATAGTTAAATTTAGCTGGTCTTTTTGAGAGAAAGCAATGGTTTCTCTCAGACAACATGTATGTATCTTCTTCTAGAACTCCTAGATCCCAGAGGTGTAATGAATCACAGAACTGTAACTTCTCTCCTTGCTAAACAAATAGTTACATGAAAAATGATGCATCTCCATCCAAGAATAAACAAAGGCCAAGTTGGCCAGTTTGAGAATACTCAATTCTACAGATTTGATCTTCTAGCAGTGAGAATTAGTGATACTCCATGTAGCCTGTCAGTGTCTGTGGAGAGTATGTATGTGCCCTGCCCTCTTTCTCATTGGTGAGAGAGAGTAGGTGCCAAAAGTGTGGGAATCACATGGCCTCAAACCCTTAAGACCTGGCTCTTCCTTTAGGTCCTGGGACAGAAAATTATGTAACTCATTAAAGTATATCAATATGTGAATTTATTGAACTTAGTGCTATATGTGTGCTTCTAGTGATTTTTATTACATTTTATTGTTATTTTTACTGTTAGCCATACAGGGTTGCTTGGCAAATGGGCAAGCATGCAAATTGAATTGTATTAATTATATAAAATTTGGTATGGGTTATATTAAGTCAATCAACGCACATACAGTAATAGGTTTTGTTATGGGTTCTTGAGGTAAGCTCAAAATCAGAATATTACAACCTTATTTGAAATCAGATATATCCAACCCTTGGACAACAAGCGGCCTTGGATAGCTAGTAATGTTGCTCCACAGGGTAATTAAAAATTGAAAATAATAAATGAGTTTTAATGGATATAAATATCATATATCTTATATGCAGTCCAACACAATTCTTATTTGCTCAATGTGGCCTAGGCAAGCCAACAGGTTAGACAACCATGCTTTAGAGCAAAGTTCTCCAACCTTTCTGGAGTACGGGCAGGGGGAAAAGAGGTGATAGTTTTGTGGGAGGGACAGATATGTGTGTGTGTGTGTAAGTACAAACACCCATTGCTAGCACAAGGGCAGTGAGAGTCTGCATGTGCTCACTAGCCAGCTACTCATGTGACCCGGTGGCCAATAGACTGTGGCTCAGTACTGGTTGATGCAATATCCTTGCCGTGATTATAGTACAGGTACATACACTTGCAGAGGTAACTGTCAGTCGACAAAGGATAATCTTATTCTCTAACCCATTTGGCAGGAAAAAGGTGTGAAACAGCTTAAATTAGCAGAGGTGTGAAACTCACTGGTGAACAAAAAGTTTTTGGCAGGCAAAATGGAACAACAGTCCAATCTTGTTTGGCAAAATCTGAT